GTACTGTTACGTTTGATGCAGGTAAAGTGTGGGGCCCTATTATACAAAAATTCATCATTACCGACAACAGATGGGCTAACTGAACCTTATGAGTCTTAACATTAATTCTTTTTAGATGTATTACATTCATCGGCAGTTAAAAAGGCTGGTGCATTTGGAACACTTCCTACTTCCACAACAAAGGATGTCTAGGTTTGCGTTCTTATGAGTTTCTTGCACCTCACTCACACTTCAGCAAGCTTACTGTTCCCTACTGAAATAGTGATGGCAGACGCATCAGGATTCTGAGTGCGGCATAATAAAATGCAGGAAATGGAAAAACCAAATGGAAAGACTAAAAAACAACAAATGCCCCCACCATTCTGAAAATCACAAAATAATATACCTGGATTTTTTAACCCCCCCCTGTTGTGCAGGATCTTGTACAACAGACAGAGTTCCTAAGGCATGCAGTAACACAGCACAGCATCAACATACAGGAACTGAATGCTACTTAACCACTGGAAATAAAATGTTTATTCTCTTAGAACTCTCCTATTCTTTCCCCTTTTCCTCGTTTACTTGGCCATTATTATTTTTATCAGTTTTGTACAACATTGATCTTAAACATGTTTAATATAATTAAATATTATTTATTTCTGGTAGTGCCCACAGCATGCAAGGCACTGAAGACACAGAAAGGCATAGTGTCTGCCCAACAGAAGGCATACAGAGCCCCTGCCAAAGGAGTAAAAGGTGGATCCTGGAGTGGTGGAGGGAAGTGGAGGGGAGGGGATGGGGGGCACACAAACACAGAGCCCTTGCTATGGCAGAAAGGTAAAAAGGAGGGAGGACAGAGAACCCTTGGTTTGGCAGGAGGTAGGAATCAGGGTGCACACTGAGTCCCTGGCTTAGGGAGCAAGGGAGGAATGGAGGGCATGGGGAAGGGCAGACAGAATTGTTGGCACATGGGGAGAATGGAGTATCCTGATATGGGAAGAGAAATAAATGGGGGGTACATGCAGCTGATCTCTGGGGGTGAGTGTGTCTGGGCTGGGGGCTGCCCCGCGGCTGGGTTCTGGGCTTAGGAGCTGCGGGTGTCTGGGCTGGGGGGATGCCCCATGGCTAGACTC